CAGTATTCCGTAGATGACTCATCATTCACTGTCCATAGCACCGTCAACGCTCATGTAACTTACAGTCCTCATCGATTCACTAAAATGCTCCTCATCGCTATAATGTTGAAATCTTAGCTTGGCCGAAACATAGCCAGTCTGTAACCCTCACCACCTCAGCATACTGTCTCCATCTCCGCGGCATACAGTCTCCTCCCTCCGCCCCCAGCATACTGTCTCCCTCAGCCGCCGCGCCGGCCGCTAATAGACGCGGCGCGGCATCGCTTACGGCTAAGCAAAGGCTACTTCGTTGTAATCTCATTATTATTGTTAATATTGTGTTAATGGTATAATAATGTTTGAATGCCATTGCCTCATTGTTAGCCTCACAACCACACTACAGGCCTTAGCACCTCAGAGCTCTAATTTGTCTCATTCCTCTACCATTACTTCTCTATCGTTACTATCATGTTATCAGTATTGTATTTATGTATTAAAGGTTTAATTACCCAAGTTTGAGGCTGGTAGATCAACTACAACAACTAAAAGACCCGCGTGGCTAATATTCTACATCAATCTGAACCGCTACACTTCGCCGCTAACCATTTCGTTACAATTTGTTTAAAAGACACTTTCTATAAATTTGCAGTCAAATTCATAATGTAAAACTTTTTTTAATATATCACTGCGGCAATCAACAACATTAACGATGCGGTCGGGGAATAACATCGCCCCCACATATAGGCAAAATCCCACTATACATCCCACGACTGAAAAAAGAACGAAAAAAGTATTTTGTGGACGCAAACACACTAAAGATTTATTTGGCAGAAATTGAGAAGAGAGCTACTTTTTGGAAAGATTTTTACTTAGATCCTAACAGCTTCAATTTCAATTATCAATGTCCACCATGAGCTAGCATAAGTCCATCTTAAGTTAAAGAATTAAATCAATTCTGAGACCTCACCTGTAGAAAACAGTGAGCATTATTGCAGATGAGTTAAGTCGCTCTCATAATTCGTCTCTTTTAATTAAAAAAAAACAGTAGCTTTCTGTTATTAACTAATGATTATACTCCGCCGTGAACTAATTCCCACTAATATGTGCCACAAAATGGTTGCACTGTTTGGTTAAAAAACTTCCCAACTCCTAAAAAACTTATTTAGTTTATTTTTTGCCAACTCAACACAGGTTTTTCTACTCTGTGAAGTCGGACTTCGGACTTTTACTCCTTATAAGACATATTCCTCACTAGAAAGCTTGCGTTTAAAGTTCATTTTCTTATGAGTTTTAAGAATTTGAATCTCATTACCAATTTTCGAAAATTTTAGTTCTAGAAAATTTTAAAAAAATAAAATTCTGCAAAATTATGTCGAAGCGATGAATAGAAAGAGAAGCCCACTTCATGAGGTTATCAAGTTCTCAACTCCTCAATGACTGTAGCTATAGAAAATCTGCCAGCAATAGTCGAAAAACCAGTTTCCTTCGCGGGGTAATCAGAAGTGGTAAGAACACTTGAGGTTCCGAGTTTTGCTCATATCTCAGCTTCCTTGAAGTTGTATTTCACATAATACGCTGTCATCAGAAAGAAAATAATACGCAGCAAACAACAACAATAACAATGATTAATAATAGAAGACAAGGAACAGTACAATGAAGCCTACCTTATTGAAACTTACTGAACTCAATGGCTGAGACTGAGTTCTGTTTTTTGGTTCGTCACTTTCCACCATTTGGATTACCTCTTTCGTGACTACAAGGAGTTGGTTCAAAAACAACACTAATTAGCATGAGGAAAGCACTAAATCCATACTTAGAAAGCCGTCCTCATCCCTATAGGTTTCCACAGATCTCTCAGCCTGCCTTTTTTTCGCTGGAGCCTCGTCCAATTTGGAAACGTTATTTCTTTTACGTGGAGCAAGCTGCTCACCATCAACGGCGCTCTCCTCACCTTAAATATTTGTGTTTCGAATATATTCAATAGTAAAGCAAACGGAAGACTACCAGAACCTTCGGACTTCGGCTGAATTGACACTTCTCCATGATCCGATTTTGAAAGCACCTGTTGGGAAGGCTTTGCTGGAAATTATTTTGCTGGCTGCACTCGTCATATCATTAATTGTCGCATCATAGTTATTGTATACCAACAATTCTGTGGCGCTTTTTCCGTGTACATGGCGAATTTATTCAGATGAGATTTATTATGTCACGGCAGCGCTTCATTCAACTCATTGAGTATTGACTTCATCGTTAAAAATGGCTTTGCTTGTTAATGATAAAAAAAAACGTAACTGAACATAAAATTCAAAGATCGCTATCGTTAACATCCACTAAAAACTACTGTTATATTCCATCCACGAAGATGTTAGTTTTTCATCAGCTGGCAATAAATTTTCGACAGCAAAGGGACTTGAGGATTTGAGAAATTGATAACCTTACAGAAGGTAGCCGTTACTCTACCAATCTTAGAAAAATGCGATTCCTTCAAAATTTTATACCCATTGCGTTTTTAACCAGAATTAGACAGCATCAGTAAGAAACGGACTTTTTGAAAATGCAACACAAGCTTGCTGGTGGAAGAAATTAAGGAGGGATTTGAGGACATGGCCATCTCCAAGTGGATAAAATTCCGCTTGTTCAGTCGCTTTGAGTTGCAGAATGCCAGAGTCGATGAAAATTAGGAAGATGAAGGATTCTTCCTCCAGCAAATTACAAACTCAGGCTGACGTTTATGAAGGGCTTGGACGTCATGGAATGCGATGGCAGGCTCTAATCACCATTATTCCAAATAACGAACTTAACTACGGCTAAAAATATAATCCTTTAAAGCTGAAAATGTAGTCTGCAATAAAATCAATGCGTATCGCTGTGAATATGTCAACTTTCACGAAAGAAATGCTATCAGTTACATTAAAAAAACAAAATGGAAAACAAAAAATTGTTTAAAATAGAAGATGGATACACGTTCAAGCAGCACTGGCGGTTAACAAGAAAACACTCCTTCTAATAATTCGTCAAAGATAGCGTATGTCTTTTTATTTCCTGCCTATCATTATATCACTGAGGCCTTTGTTTTGTCTTTCTCTCAGCAAGTTTCCTACCCTAACGGTGCCCTCAAGAATTAGCTGTCAACGAGAATGATCTGGACATCATAAGTCGGCATTGAAGAAGGGTAAGGTGAAGCGGCAATGCAAATGACAATGTTTTTGCGTTTATTTAATGCCTACTCTTTTTTCATGGCAGGCTATGATTTGGTATGTTAATGGTGTAATGTGATTGCTGACAGAACCGACAGAGTAAAATACGGCTCAGTGAAAGGCAAAGAAAGGCCCCCGGTTAATGGTGTGGGTAGCACATGAGTCACTATTACGGTAGTTACGCCAAAGTTTCATACAAAAGCAATTAGTGGTCGTGGCAGCGGAGATGATTGTAACACACGATAATCAATTTGAAACAACCACAGATAATCAAAACTGATCCTACAGAAACTACTAGAGCGGCTGTAGGTTAACACATAGTAAATCGATCAGCAACTAATAGCAATTATAATGACTCCGAAAAGAGAACGAAACTCCACAAGCAGGTGCCATGTGACCAAAAAACGTCGTTATGAATTCTGTCGACAGTTTCTTTCGTGTGGTAAAACAATCTAATTGTATAGCGCAATGGTTGGAATGATAACAAGTTCTTAAAAACTTTTCGAAACCGAAATCGCACCAAAATACTGCAGTGATTGCTCATCGATTGTGTGAAGAAGGACTAACCAAAGACAACTCTCCGAATTTTAGCAAAATGGCCACAACTATAAAATACTTCACCAAATCGAAGAACTGCACCGAAAATTCTGAAGTAAACATCCAGAACTCGCCAAAAAAAGACCCTTTCCAAATGCATGACATAGTTCGCCCACACATTGCTCAACTAACACTGTCGGATCGAATCAACTCAGCGAACCTCTTTCAGCCGACTCAAAAACTTCAAGATCCCTTGCAACAATCCACCTATCCAAAACACCACAATTCAACACTAGACTAATATGAACTTGCACGCCGTTAGCAAAAATAGGCCGCTTTTAATGGTTCGTACTTCAATCAGCGAAGTTGTCACTGCGAAAAGTTGTAACACTTCAAAGTTGCCGTTAGAATGAGCCACTATATTTGATACAACCTCATACTTATGATTTCTGTGAAAGAACGGCGCTATAAAAGCAAACCTTTTTCAAATTTAGTTTAAAAAGGGAAGTTTGGTGAACATGCTACCATTCAAATGGAAATGCACCACACTCCATTACGTCGTATAATGTAACTAGTAGGAAATCTCGATGCACAAATCAATCACAGAAATAATTAACTCACAATCACAGGAATTTTCACTAGAAGCGGATGATTGCGATAGATTATCGATAGGCGATAAAGGTTGCTCCAATGAATCCGTTGATGAACTTTGCGAAAAGACACTTTCGTTGTTCAGAAGACTAAAAGGAAACAGAGAATGAGTTGATGATAAAGCATCCCTGCTATTACGCTTTATTCGACGGCTAACGAATATGAACAAGTGAAAATGATGTATGTGAGAGTTAAATGATAAACGACCTTGACTTTTTAAAGAATTACTTCCCAGAATAACAACTTTTCCGTCAAGCATTCGAATTACTGCCACTGAGGCATTTCGTCTAAACTAATTTCTGAATTCAGAGCTTTTAAACCATGCTCTCACCAAATCAGTAGGATCAAATGCATACATGCAATACAAAGTTGGTGAGATGGTGTTCCCCTACTTTGCTAACCAAAGCTTGAAAATAATGTCATAGCTCAAAAAAGTAAAATTACCTGTCTTTAACCTTCGTCTCTGCTTCTTCCAGACACCGATTTTCTTTCTTATCGATCCTTGTCTTCCCGTTCAAGTACGAATTCTTAATTAGGTTGCTGGATTCAAAATAAAAACTAACGGCAAATTGATTAACCAAGACGTCTTCTCACGTCCATACAGCGTCTTCGTGAGGTTACTCAATTTCTTCAATTTTCTGCTTCTCTTTAGCACACATGTAATTTTGCAAATGATGCTGTTTTTGATGGATGTGATGGACTAAAGGATATTTCGTTTTTGTGTTGATTACAAAATTTAACCAGTCTAACGTTTGCAAAAACAGCAGTAAAGGAATATATGCAGTCTGATAGAATAGCTAATTTCTAAAGCTTGTCAGTAATCAAATACTAATACTCAAAATTAAATATCAACGACTTTGTGGAGTACCTATAGACCAACTCATGAAGAAATGGAGTCAAATGCCCCGCAATTTCGTGTAACAGATAAGATACACGATCTTCATAAACGAATGCACACAAAAGATCCAAATATTTGAATAGGAATCATGCGTTCTTTCAATTTATGGAAATAAAACAACCGATATTTTTAGCTCACTAAGCTAATAAGGACTGCGTGAAATAAAAATAACAGGAAAATTTTTGGCGATAAAGTAAAAAAAACCCACTTCATTCTCGTCTAAAATATTCCTCATAGCCAGAAGAAAATCCGAGTTAGCAAGTTCGATTTCATCGCGTAAATTCCTGGCCATTAGCGCGACCTCCGATGAATATACAGGTGCCCTAGCATCGTTGAGGCGAACAAGATTTTGGTCTTGTAAACGAACCATGGACATCAATTTTCTCAGATCCTGAGTGAAAAGAAAAAGCTACTGTATCGGAAAAATGAGAAGGGTGACTATACCTCGATTTCGACAATTTGAAGGCTGAATAGTTCCACTGTAAAAACTTCGTTAAAGGCGTCTTTAATCTTGTCCAAATCACGATCACGGTAAAGGACAGTGGAAGTAGCGCACACACCTAATATAACAGTGTTGGTAAATCTGCTCACGTGTAATTATTTGAGAATACGAAAGCTTCGCTAAATTTCTCACGGTTCTACAGATATGAGGCTCTGTCGTTTCAGTGCTAAAAAGAAACAGAAACAGAAATCCGCTCCGCAAGACACGAACTCACCGCAAATGGTAGTCGAACCGGTCACACTGAACGTCGCCCACAAACCGTTTGACTTGTTGTGTTTCTCATAGAACTGCTTCATCGCACTTAATAAAAGAACTTCCAAAGGACATGAAGTGCCATGAAGTACTTCAAGGAAACTTGAAATACTGTTAAAACTAATGATAAAGATGACAATAACAACAAAACCACAACGGTAGTTACTAGTCAATAATAATAGTAAAAGCGCAATAATGGAAGTTAGAGAGATAACAACAAGAAAATAAATGGCTGTTATCACAGTACAAACATATCACCTGTCACCCGAAGTACCGTTGGTCGTCGAGTAACTCGTGCACTAGTAAACATTCCATTTTTCCCTGTCATGTGCAAAAGTCGTCCAGTGGGTTCTGCTCGCTTTAGGGACTCGTTGAGCTTCACACCTTTTCGTCGGTTGGCTTCCTGGAGTACGTTTGACATGCCGAAAAATCCAGTCACTAGCGGCTCTTTTCCATCGGTTGTCGTTCATATGCATTACTTGTGAGGCCCACTGATAGTTTGGCGTATAGAACGCCATCTTTGATTTATGATCGATGACGCAAGTAACCGCGTCGGATCCCTTGCCTTACTTGTGTGACACAGTACACTCCTAGCACAGTCTTTTCGACTGCGCTTTCAATAACGCTGAGTAATCTCTCATTCTGCTTACGCAACAACTAGGCTTCTGATGCATATGTTAAGGCTGCAAGTATCGTGGAGTCGAGAAGGTGGGCACGGAGTTGGGTGTTTTTGTTCCCTTTACTACATCTTCGATGTTCTTGAAATCTCCTAAGCCGCTCGTTTCTTTCTGCCCAACTCTGGAGCTAAGTCGTTCATCACGTTGATTTCCCGACTTAGATAGACATAACTGGAGCATTCGGAGATTATTCGTCTCGGTTGAGCGTAAACGAGGCGTATGAAACCAATACTTTCCCCATGAACGTCGTTTTTGTAAGATTTAGTCGAAGACCACTCTTTCCACAGGCTTTATCGAAGGCGGCGAGCATACGTTCCGCTTGGCTAATGTTTGGTGTTATAAGGACGATGTCATCAGCAAAGCGAAGATGATGTAACTGCCGACCGTCAATTTTCATTCCCATATTATCCCATTCAAATGTTCGCATAACTTTCTGGAGCGTGGCGGTAAATAATTTTGGCCAGATGGTATCACCTTGCCTAACTCCTCTTTTGACGTCAATGTTAATATCGTTGTAGAAAGGTAATACCTTGGTAGTGAAGTTTTTGCAAAACTCACGAAAAATCTTTACATTTTGAGTAGGGACTCCTTGATTTTCCAGGGCTTCCTTAACTGCTTCTACCTCAATTGAATCAAAAGCATTCTTTACAGCGATAGAAGTGCGACAAAGCGATTTTTTGTACTCAGCAGTACTCCAGTGAGCCTTATTATTGTATGGACTTGGTCCATCGAATTGAATACTTTTCAAAACCTTGTTTGCTAACTTGGCTATCTTTCATCCAGTGTTCTGCCAATTCTGTTTAAGAAGACTCGAGCGAAAAGTTTGTAGACGACAGTAAGCAAGCAGACAGGACGCCAGTTGCGACATGTCAAATTTCGGAATTAGAGACCGGTGGTATGACATAACATCCTCTTTTATTTCAAACGAGTAGGATGACATGGCCATAGAAGAGATGTGAGCAGTGATCGTGAATGATTTTCTCCATAGCTCTGCAAACCATAAGCATTTCGTGTGGGCGTCGGACTGCAATCACTTTGGTTTTTTAATAGGTGAAGCCTCGGTGAGCTTTGCGAATGCTTTTCCACAGCCTCTATAGCTTCGACCATAACTGCTGCTCTTCTCTCCTTGAGATCTTCTTTTATCGCCTGTGTGCATTGTTTTGCAAATTCGGAAGTGAGATGGCGGTTGCATATAGCTAGTCGAATTCCATGCTGGCTTATCAGCTTGAGTGTTTCTGGAGATAGACTTCTCTTGGTGACTGTCGAACGTTCAGCTTTCGTAGCGCTAACGTGATGTTGAATGAGCCAATCATATTCCTCGTCGATATTATCGAGAACGGCATCCTCCCAACAATTGACTAGTGAATTGAATAAATCCCAGTTTATTGTGGTTCTGGGACTTCGTTTTTTTTTGAATTCAGCGGCTTTTCTCCTTTACGCGAAAAATTAAGTCTTGCACGGAGGTGATGGTCTGATCCCGTTTAAAATTTTGGGACAACAGCGACAACGCTGAGGCAAAACATTTGATTTACTGTTATGTGGTCTATTTAGTTATGGTACTCTCCACAGACAGACTCTCACGTCCAGCGTTGAGGGTGGGGTTTCTGGAATTGCAGGTTATCAATGATCGTCATGATAAATTCAGAGAACCGTTCACCTTGCTCGTTCTGTTCCCGTCCGCCTGCCCAATGTGACGTTCTTCAGGGTCCAATCTTTACGTTACAATCTTCAACGGTGACCTCAATGAATGCACGGTCTTCTCTGTAAAACTTCTCTAAGTCCTTGAAGAAACTCCCGACCTCTTCTGCTTCATGTCGGCGCGTAAACGACGAAGACTGTCAAAGCCGGTATTGATCCACATCTCTTCAATCGTAAATTTCCGATTCGGCTTGCTAGTTGCTCGAATAAATGGATTTCACGGACAAATTCATGTTGACCAGAACCCCGACGCCGCCGACTCCTCTACTGTCGCATGTTCCGAGGAACAGTTCATCTCTGATGTCATATATGGCGTTGAATGGGTGGAATCGTCTCGTCTTGGCCAGTCCGATGATGTAGTGCCTTATCCTTCCTGCTTTTCCTCATCAAGTCTTCTACCGATCACTCAGATGTAAGGGTGTGCATTGAAGATACAGATCGCCACTTTAGTCCTTTGCGATTTAGGCAGCTCAAAATGGCCCTCGCATTTTAGCAGCCTCTCCGTAATCGCCCTACCAAACGCTATCGAGTAGGAAACTCTATCGGGGCCAGGGGAATAAGGCTCGTTTCTTTTAACGTTTTTAGCTTTTTGACACTCACATATAACTTGCTGAGCTCTGAAGGTGGGTATACTCACGGGTAGGTTGACAGTCTTTCCCAGAGTGGACATAGAACTTATTTGTTGCAGGGAACTCGTAGTTGCTTCCCACATACTTTCCCGTTGCTCGATTGCAGATTTTTGGCCGAATTGACTCGTAGAATACAATCCGCATAAACGAGAACACGCATATGTCCTCGTAAATACAGAACGTATGTGTCAAATCGGTGTAGCAGAAATACAGAGTTCATCTTTTGGATCCATTTGCGTCTCAGGGAAGGAAAGGTCGCTTCCGGCCAGCGATCAACGCCATTTCAGCCACTTGGAGAGGTGCCACATCGCCTAGCGACTAACTGGCTTGAGGTTCGTCGTGTGAAGAAGTATAGTAGTATAGTATCAATGATGATAAAACAAAACAAAACATAACGAAGGAAAGATAGATAAGAACAACCTGTAAGCCTCATCGACTGGAATATCCTGAGATCGGGAAAGGGTCACAGCTGTCACGATTTTGTTCTCGTCAAAGATCAGATTCATCAGGATACGTTCCATCGTGCTCAGGAATCTTCAACACACATTGTCAAAACCATACATTGCGAGTGAAAAAGATACTTATTTGAAAAATGCATAAAAATGTAGGAGAAATTATGATACATAAAAAGAATCCGTTTTATTACTTAAGAGACGTCAAAAAACTTTTTGGCAAGGAGGACGCGGGTGTAGTCGTTGAAATATCGAATGGTAGACATCGAAACAAATAAGCTTTCGAATAAACCACGATTTGGTATAAGAGCTTCAACACCATACAAAGTATTTATTTCCCAAATTCAATAAAAAATGAACGAATACAACAATGAACGAGCTTCGAGTACGAGCACGAGTATAACAGTGGCCTCACAAATAAGCAAATGCCACAAGCGAAATCTAATGTCTCATCACAGATCTAAAATTGTTCAAAGGATATCGAGCTGAATGCAAAAATTTGCAAGAAAAATCAGTTCTACGTCACACTAACGAAAACTGAGGATCGTACCCGATTGAAAGCCAGTAAAACGAACATAAAAAAGATAAGTTTTTGAAAGAAAACCGAAGACCGTAATGTAGTGGAGCTGGTGATGAAATAACTGGTTGACTCAACAACGCAGCAGATATGTGGAAGACGATGATGGACATTCATCAAGCGAGCGAGTTTGAGCTCGCTAGAAGTCCTATAACAATGAAATGCTAAAAGTAGCTTACTTAATACTCAAATTCACATACACACACAATAACGTATACATACATATGTATTCGTACATGCATATACATATGTATATGCACTCATACATATATATATGTATTCATATACACACATATATACATACCCACATATGCATTATGTATATATAGTAACAGACCAACAACTTTCACGACAGCAATAGTCGATACTGAAAGTATAAATTTACATGTTAATATGGATATACGTATATGCCTATGTATGTACATATATACACGTATATGTATATATACATATGCACAGATGAGCATACTAATTCGAATATTTAATAGCTTTAATAGAAGAAGAATGTCTAAAGAAGCAGCACCGATTGGGAGGCTTCCTGAGCGGATGACAAAACAAGTCACTTTAGTCTCTACTGCAGCTACGATTCGTATGAAAAGAAAACTGGGTATCTTCCGATCCAAAGAAAATGTTCGGATGCAGTTTCGCCTGCGTTTCTTGTTTCTGCCTTAGGGAAGAATTCTCACCATCACATAGAAACAACGAACGAATAAAAAGCACTGCAGATAAACAGATGAACGTGAACCACTAACCATAAAAGATTTTTGTTAGCAGAGATGGGAGAAGGTATTCCCGTAGACGTCCGGAAAAGCGCTGCAAGACTTCCTCCTCCGTGCGATTTGTCTTTTGAAACCAAGGCTATCAGCTACAACAGTGGGATTGGACTCACAAAAAGGCTAATGAACCTGAAGAGAGGTATTTATTCACAGCAAATGTTCATCTAAAGCATATGAGAAGTAGAACCTATATATTCCTGATTTGTTAAAAGAATCTTTTCGAACCCGTCCCCTGAGATATAGAAAAACTCATTTAAGGTACACCATATTTAAAGCAAACAAAACGGTGAATAGAATGTAACTGGCCAAAAACAGCGACAGCACGAGACCGACTTTCGATAGAAATTGAGAACAGAGCCGGTTAGTTCCAGTAAGCAGACGACGAGAATGATTGTATCAAGCAGTAGATCAAACAGGAATATGCAGTGTGGAAGCTGCTCCGATGGTAAGCGATGACCCAATGCGGGAGTCGGTTTCAGTTCCTCTCGAGCACATTTTCTTCCGACGAGCTTTATCAGCTTATGGTCACGCCTTTTCCAATGAAACAGACATGACACTTCATATATCCAGGATTCTTTCATCTCCTTTCTAAGGATTAGAGCTTCCAGTGTGCTTTTGAAGTCACTGTTGAAATTAAAGAAAGTGGAAAATGCATCACTGGTTCAAACTTAGCCCTTAAATTATGACTATTGTTCGAAAGAGTGAAAAACAAAATAAAGGAAGTCTACATTTTTCGTTTCGTATTCACACGTTGAGATAATGAGAGTTGAGAGTTGGAGAGTTGGATTTGAATATTTCGTGTCGAATGTCCACAACTGTTACTTATTCCTATGTGCGTCTTCATGATTGCATTGAGTTGAATCCGGTGGAGCACCCTTCCAGTGAACTCACCTCAGTCACCAAACAACGGTCAATCAGTATTATCAGCTTTTCTCCATAGAAGAGCACTACCGAGTGAGAACTTGCACTAACCACTTCATAATTTAAGCTGAGGACTATAATTCTAACTTTTTGATAAGTTTATCCCCAAAATTTTGGCAGAATGACGTTTAAGAAAGTTCTGATTGGTACCTACAGAATGAGTGGCTCCCGTAGCACAGTTGTCGAAGGCACGCTGCAGTACACATGGGGTCGATCCCCACGCCCCAGATTCACTAAGCCCTCCATCCTTCAGAGTTCGGCAAATTGGTACCAGACTTGTCTAGGAGGATATTAGCACTGGCTCGATACATCGGTAAGCCACCACGAGTTGTTATTTTTTTTTTATAGAGGCCAGATATACATTCAGTCTTCTC